TTTTAGGAATTTTTAGGGATGAATCGAAACATTTTCAGGATAAAATAAGTCACTTACCTTTCATAAACATCAACGTGTTAACTTACAGATACAGTTCTATGTGGTATGTGTCCAGTCTACCAGCTATTCCTATCCTCCAAGTCCTCGATACGACTGCACATCATCAAGTTTCATGCAAATTAGGCATGTCTTGTACATCCAGCCAAGAACAGAGTCATATAATCAGACACTGACGCTTAGGAATCACTGGTAGACTGAGTCACAATACTCACTCTGTATAAAGATAACTAGAAAACATCCATTAGCAGGGTCTCTAACCATGTGAACTCCAAATGCGGAATGTTCCTGCGGTGATCACGTAACTAGTGGCGTATTCAGATATTGATGGGCAGGGGGGGGGGCGAAATGTACCTTGGCTGCCGCAGGCAGGCCCGCGTGCCGTAGGCATGCCAGTGCTAGGGGGTCTGGGGCATGCTCCCCCCCAAACAAAAATTTGAAATATTTAAGCCATTTTCCTGCAATCTGAGGCATACTGTGGGCCATATTCTCATGTCTGATAACACTATCTCAACCCTACAACCCTTGTCTGATTAGCAGACAAACTACATGACACCTTGCAGACAGCGCCTGTCTGACTAGGCTGTTCCATTTACCGTAGACATGCCAGATACAAAAATGCCTGAAAAAAAAATGTGTCCAAGCAAACAATCAGTGCAAATTTTGTACAAGTGCAACTGAAATGAGGAATATAACCTTGCCGCTGCAGAATGCGGAAATTAAGCCTAGAAATCGTAATGATTCCGCAGAATGAAGAATGGTTGGAGACCCTGCATTAGACATAAATACAAACCAAAAGTTCATCATCTCATCACCAAAAACTCCAAACATACCTGTGGATTTTTTTTTTAGGAATTCGAATAAAATTTTACCACTTTTTTAGGAATTTCATACATTTTTAAAGTTTAGGAATTTTAGGACGAGCTCAAAATGTTAAGAATTTTTAGGAATTTTAGGGCCGCTGGAAAGCCTGTGAGTATAGAACACACCTGTGAGTGAGTAGAGTATAGTGACCGGCGACAATGCAACAATCCGTCAGACAATGCAATGACAGTGCAGCGCACACGTGGCGATTGTTCAAGTTTTTTTTAGCCACTCTAGTTACAGATTAAATAATATCAAAGTATTATGAACTACTTACTGTAACACGTAACACTTTTTAAAAGCTGTTCTTCATCGCTAACCAGAACAACGTCATAGTGATTCTTACTGTATTGTCGTGGGGGGGGGGGGGGGGGGGGGGGGGGGGAGGGGGGGGAGAGAGCGGAGGAAGATGCGCCGTAGTGTTATTACTGAGGTTCATCATAGCGATTTTGTGACTTTGCTTAATGTTATCAATAGCAGTGTGTAGAAAGGTATGTGATAATGTTCGGAAAGTATCCTTACTGTTATCTAGTTAAAGGTATGTGCATACCAATGTTTGCATAAGTATTCCTTACTGTTATCATAAGCCAGTTTGTAGAAGGTATGTGATAAACTGTTTGAATAAGTTATCCTTATTTTAATCATAGCAGTTTGTAGAAGGTATGTGTGATACATGCTTCCACTGACGACTAAACGCAGATTTAGTTAGTTCCTATCTTTGCAGCTTTTATTGACGTTGGGTGTAAAGGTAATGTGCATGTATATTTGATAGGTATTATTTACTGTTAACTGCAGTGTGTTAGAAGCTATTAGTATAGGTAGAAATGCCAAAAATGATATTCACTGTTTTGTCTTTATTGTCAAAAAATGTCAAAATATATCGGAGTCCAGTAAATTTTAGTCCGGTCCAAATAAATTTGCTGGCTGGTGACCGAAGGTCCAATGTTTAGAAAATTCATTCGTGCAAGACGATAAGTGTCACAGGATCACGATTACTTGGGAGATGTTGCTCACTCAGAAGAGATTTCTAAGCAGGGCAGGTGATGTAATGGAGTGATCATATTATATTGGTACTGGGTAGCTAGTTTCAAGCAGTGTTATATAAATCTTGATCAAAACTTATAGTACTCACAAAAAATCTATAAGTGTGAAGTATTACCATCACAACTTGTTAGTAGCCTGCACACAGCGCACTGCCACGAATTACGCAGAATATTTGTAGTGCGGCTTGCGATGTAACTTCCATGCTTTAATATGATCAACTTGGTGCTTTAGCTGAAATAGGGTCTTTAAAACTAGCAACTAATATAGGAGCAAGCCTCGGTAAACCGTGTGATTTTGTAAAACTAGCCCCGGTACCGAGTGTGCTAGGAAAAACGCTTGGATCAACTTTTTATGAGCAAATGCAGCCATAGATAATTTACTTAATTCTAGCAGATAGATTACTAACACTAACAGAGAAACAAACACGTGATTAAGTGCGCGCACATAGAAATGCAATAAACTAAGAGCAGTCAATCGGCATAAATACAATACGCTGTGAGTCATGCCATTTCGAGGCAGTTCTATACTTTAATATTTAACTCTATTTTTAAAAATCGCAGTTTTTAGCTTCCATCTGCATATCAGATGCAGCTTGTAGAATCGCTTGATCGTCCGCTGCCGCCGGGGTCGTCCGGCTCGTCGTCAACAGTGGGCACAAATCTTCACCGCTTTGACGTACGTTCACGAATATTCGGTCGTTGGGGGGATCGTCAAACGAGTTGGGCTGTCGAAGCTGGGGGTCAAAAGGTCAAAGGTCAAGAGGTGTAAAAAGATACGGGGAACATTCACTCCTTAACTTAAGGTATAGGGAGGAAATGGCAGCAATTGCGGCACAAATCTAAACGGCTCGACCTAAGGGCTCGTGATAGTCGGTGTATAGCATCATTGGTAGGAAAACGCATCACTGTGCCGAAATTGGAAGGTCACAGGTCATGGGCACAGGGCAGATTTTTAGACATATTCTGAGGGACATCGGTCTGATCGGAGCGATTGAAAAACTTTTTTGTTTCAGCGGTGCCTAGCATTTTTATGGCATTATTGAAAGGACCATGGAAATCTACTTTCTGCTGACATAAGCGAAGAGTAAATGTCATAAAATTAACTTGGACCCTCAAGAGGAGGCGTTAAAGCATGGATTTGTTGACTGTCTGCTTAGAAAGAATTTGACTGCCGGGTTTGCTAGTAAGAATCTATACCAGCCTGGATGTATTGCAGGCTACAATGTCACAGTGAAAATTTCAAAGTAAATTTGGTTAAAGAAGGTTTAATGCTCCTTAAATCGTATAATTTATATCATCTGTACATGTCAGTATGTTACATGTAACGTATGCCATGCAGTGCTACTGCCATGCATGTGTTTAGTGGGACTGTGGAGTTTTTGCCTTAATGTAACAGGTGGCAGTCTCCTATTGGTCAGCCTGGAGGCTTGCGCTAAGTAAATGGATGATGTGCTTAACGTTCGATATTCTGTCCTGCAGATGTTGTTGCACAGTGCTACTACGTAATGATGGGGAGCTTCCATCTTAATCTGAAGACACTTAAACTATCGCCATCTCGTGGCAACTTTCATACGATCCAACGAACATTTCTTATTGCAGAAGGTTCCTGATTACCATCCCTGTGGCCATTCCAACTGGTTCGGCGTGTATGTGAACACATTTGTGCCGACTAACAGGGTGTTACTAGAATCCCAACACTGCCACCACAGAGTCACGCCAGTAGACGTTAGATGAGCGCTGTCGCTATGCGCATTGTTAGGTAGTCCTTTTAAATGTGCTCTAGGCCACCCTTAAGGTGATAACCCTAACCAATGTGTTGGCAATCTTGTGGCATCCTAAACCAATAATTGGGAGAAGCATAGGAAACAAGACAGCAGACAGACAGAGTTTTCGTTTTGTAATAGTATAGATTATCATGATGTCATGGTTAGAATGGCTTATTTGTACATTTCCTATTATTATTTTTATTAGCAATTTCATGTGGTTTTTTTTATTCAAAGTAGTGCTCGTGTCCAGTCAGTGCCCCAATGTATATTTCTTTGAAAACACATATATAGAATATTAGCTAGCCCATTCGCGGCTGTAAATCACGTGGCCCTGGCATTTACCCAGGCATCATGCAAAACCAATGATCGCAAATATCCCAAGACAGTAAAATGAAGAAGACATAATAACTTGTATGAAATTATAAAACTGTAAAACCAAATGGTTAATTAAACAAAAGTAGTGGACTTCGACTCAGATTCCAGCATTGTTACCTGTCCAAAGGCCTATGAAGTTCATACTCAACGAATATTCATATATTTTGTCTGAACACACAATTGCTTATTAGTGTAGGCAGCATCTACAGTTCACCTATCACAATTTCAAGTGTCATGTTATTGACATCGTGGCGCCATGCAGCCCTCGACACTAACGGTTGTCCGATTCCTTGGACGGACAAGTGAAAGTCTATGTCGGACAATATTCTTGCCTAGTTTCCCGATCGCGACAAGCTGAAACATTCTAGCTTTGTTTAACGTATTCTTAACATCCTCTGAGCCAGGGCCTATCGCACAAATTCTCACTTCAAACGTTTTCAAAAGGTCCCTGAAAAAGCAGCCCGAGACACCCACTGTTACCATTACAGATCTTTTTCAGAGCGGCCAGCCGCCCGCGTACTTCTGCTGGCGCATGACTATGGCGGAGTACGTGTACTCGGTGATGATTTATGTCTTGCGTGGAGTAGATTTGTTAAAGTGGTGGGAATATAGAATCGTAGGGGCTGGCATCTGGATGCAGATGACAGACAAACTCTTTCCCTGTGATTGAAGGAAAAAAGCTGCAATGGTGTACACACAATGAGCGTGCAGCATGCAAACATAAAGTTGCTGAATTTTTCATTACGTTTTTACATGTACTGTATTATACTCGTGTATAAGGGTAATTCATGTATATGTAATAAGCGCACCCATATTTTGCATCTGAAAAAATTGGTACAAAGCATTGTACATAACACAAGATTCTTAGCTCGTCTATAAGTCACACCCCATATTTTTTGTAATTGAAGTTGTGTACAAAGCGCGGTTTTATACCACAGTTTAAATATTGGTGTTATATACTGTAACTGTGTAATACACACGCCACGCACGCATGCAAACGCCGTGGATGCAAGACACATGACCTAAGGTATGTGCGAGCCATATGCACGCAAGGAATACTGCAAAAATGTCATGGATGTATAATAATTATATATATATATATAGTTAGTTATATAAATACACATCTATCTATATAAGTGAGTTATATATGTATGATATACTATTATATATCTAGTTTATGTAATATGATCTTCTTATACACTCCTATAATATGATATTGCACTGAACCAAAAGAGCGACATTAACGGGTACATTGCACCAAGTAAAATTTTGGACAAGTTAAAATCAAAATTCGGAACCAAGTAAAATTGCTTCTTGTTGCCCGCGACAGGACAACCCAGATCATGGAAATAAGCGTCGAGGCCTGGCATGTGTAAAAAAATTCCATTTGAGGCTTTTGCCACCATGCCTGAAACGAGTTATCGGGTGCGGTTGTGTGCGCTTTTGCTGGCGAATGCATTGACAGGAGAGACAAAAAAACTGATGCTGACTGTCGCCGGAAGCGGGTTCATACGTTGGCGATTTTATCCGGTAGTTAGAGCCTACTGCGATGTTTTTGCCAAGAAAACTGTCGCTGCAAATAATCCAAAAGAAAAAAACAAAACATGTTTGATAATTTTTTGCCGAGTCGANGAGTGAGGCTGCAGATAGAAGTGCTGTATTTTAACTTAGAGCAACCGATCGACGTACATGTATCAGAAACGCGAGAGTATATATGGGCAGAACTCCCATTATTATACTCTTAGATAATTATGCGTAATGTTTTATGTGGAAATAAGTAAATTCATTATTATGCTATATAAATTAATAAATGAATTGTATAAACACACAACATGAATCACCATTTGTGACGGCGTAGATGGCCGCCCTATACGACCCGCTTGATGTTTCTTAGCATAAATCATGTAGTATGCATACAGTGTTTGAACATAATAAGTATAATAATAATAGTATTACAATATATATGTTTCATAAGCAGCGAATTTGCACTTAATAGGATGATGTGTCAATGAAATCGTTGTAAAACGGAACCAGTACGACGCTGTGAGCACCACAGACTGTTTGTTTATCATGCGTGTCTAGTCATAATATGCGGTTATAATTAGCCAACGCTTAACTATAATTTGCCTAATTATTTTTTTAATATATCAAAACCCCTGGCCTTATTCAATTCCCACGACCAAGAAATTGAGCAATAATCGCTTGAAACCTGAATCTGACTTAATGGCAAATGTCCCATTTTTGCGTAAAAAAATTGCGCTGGCTCGCAAAGTTACGTCGACTTGGCGTGCCCCCTTCCAAAAATTAGTAACGTCGTTAATATCGGGCAGTGTAGCAGAGCGTAACAACTAATACCCAACTTTCAAACGATGTGGGTCAAACGCGTTCCTGAGATTATTGTTGACCATAGCGACAATTGTTGACGGCGAACGAGCAACGGACGGCAAGAGCGTCAAGGTTCAAGATTGAAGACGGACGATGTCAAGGTGAGCTAAAAACGCACGAGTGTTTACATTAATCATGTACTTTCCTAAGCGTGCATCGGCGTTTTTATACCCCCTGATTCTGTGACCTACATCGCACAGCTGGACTTTCCCATCTCACTTATACCGTGGGTGGTAGTGAAAGCTGTGCATGGCAATGGGCATTGTAAACATACAATAGTGCATAATGACTCTTGTTTAAGCTGCTAGCACTTTTTTTCTGCATTGATGGTAAGGAACTTGTAAGCTCATGTTGTCATTTTTATTAATGTACCATCAATAATTAAATACATGAATAAATAATTAAATGACCAGCTTGTTTGTGAACACATATATTATATGCCTCTATCATGTTCTGCATGAGAATAACTGTCTGTTTATATCACAGGGGTCAAAATAAGCGATGGTCCGATGGTCTGGGGCCATCCGGACAGACCATTGAATGTTTTGGTCCCATTTTACGGTAATTTTCTTTGAAGTTTCCACCTTTCGATTATTGCTAATCCTCGTGTTGACCATAGCAAACAACGTTATTAACCAATATACTATTAAAGTGAATAAACAATTACTGTATCATTTGATACATTCATTGTAGGTGAATAATTATTTAAAACCATTTTATCACCATGTAATTTGTAAAATCTCTTTCTTACGCTTGCTTACGCATTACTTTTAGAGAACAATTTGACATTTAGGAGGACTATCAAAAATTTAGGATGACCATCTAAACTTCAAACTAGATGGTCCTGTGGACCATCTCTTTTTTCTCTCCTTATTTCTACCCGTGATATCAGTTGGAAACAGAATAACTGCATTGCTTTAATTCGGCCACCTGTAATGCCAAGAAAGCAGAAGTGTCAAAGATAAATATTATATATGGATTAATGCCTGTTAATATTAAACGCCACATTTGATAAAGCTTTGGCTGCATCTACAGTTGCACACACAACCGTTAGCCTGTTGAAATGTGTTTCATTCATTCTCTCGCATAACATCTATAAACTTCCTACAGCAACCAACTCATGAATAGAAATGTGATAATCCAAGCGACTCTCCATATCTTACTCGTGCTGAGAAGCAGGCAACAACATGGCGTATGTCGTTCAATGCTAAAAAATGTAGAATTCTTCACATTACAAGCTTGAAATCACCCTTGACCTTTAGTTACTTGCTGTAACATATTTTACACCTACATGTTTACAAATAATTGCGTGTCATTCTTAGAAGCAATCTTCGCTGGAATACCCAAATTGATTAAATTTGTAAGAAAGCGCATTGTTCCTTAGCTTTGACAATTCTAAAATTCGGTTCCTGACATTTAAAACTATGTTTCTCCCCATATTAGAATAAGCTTTGCCAGGCTGGTGCCCTATACACTTTACCTCTAGTACTATAGCCCGCGTACAGTTGCCGCAGGCCTGCGCCAACCAAGCCAGCGCCAACCAGGCCAGCGCCTGCGGCAACTGTGTGGGTTTTAAACACCGTCCCTAAAATGCTGATCAATATTGTTTGGGCCCAACTTGACACACAGGCACTTGGAACGTCTCAATAAAAAAGGGTCAATAAACACGAAACGTATTCACTACCAAAGTCTTACTGTTTCTATACTCTATTTCGCCTATTATTGCCACTAATTACCCGTAAATGCCGGTCAAATGCTCATCTGCAACACACAAGTACACCGCATGCACGCCCTGTGCACAAACAACATGAATAAGAGAGCAGGTAGGAAAGCGTGATCGCAAAATTCGCTCGACGCTCGCTTTATTTAACACCTTCACAGCCAAAATACACCAATCAAAGCTTCCATCTTGGTATATATGTGTAGCTAAATGTTCACTTGTTCGAATTATAACTTGTTCTCTCCGTGAAAATGTAAGGAGGACGAGATGTCTGCTTATACACGAGTAATGGCGGCGCATTGCATGCCGGGATGAGCTGCTGCCTGCCTCCGAGCTCCGTTTCGAGGCCCGCCAAGCCAAGCACAATGCGCGCGGGCATGACGACACACACACACGACTACAGCGATCGATCGAAAGTAGCGACGTTAGGGATTTTCGGATGATACGTCCTATTTACATTTTGAGAACATTTCCTGCAAGATTTCACGACATATCTCTGGCGGGAGTAGGTAAGAACAAAGGACAGAGTTATAATTCGAACAAGTGAACATTTAGCTACACAAAGATACCAAGATGGAAGCTGTTGTTGGTGTATTTGGGCTGTAAAGGTGTGAAATGAAGCGAGAGTCGAGCGAATTTTGCAATCACGCTTTCCTACCTGCTCTCTTATTCATGTTGTTTGTGCACAGGGCGTGCGTGCGGTGTACTTGTGTGTTGCAGATGAGCATTTCACCGACATTTACGGGTAATTAGTGGCAAAAATAGGCGAAATAGAGTAGAGAAACATTAAGACTTTGGTAGTAAATACATTTCGTGTTTATTTACCTTTTTTTTATTGAGATGTTCCAAGTGCCTGTGACTTAACAGGCCTCCTCTTCGCGTACGCTATACTTATAACTTTTCATTAAATTTATCATAGCCAGGTGAGGATTGGCATTCCCTCTTGCTTGATAAATATTAAAGGTTGTTGGTTGCACTAAGCATTACAATTAATTGCTTTCGACATGTATCATCTTCTAAGGATCATTTTAAGTTTAGCTTCCTGTCATTCCGTAACTTATCTGCAGATAATGCTACTCTGTTGCATTATTCATATATATACTATTACTTAGGCCTACCTAATACCAGTGGCGTAGTTAGGGGGCCAAAGGGCATCATGGTCCCCCTGTTGATCCTAAAGTAGAAATTAATGAAAGTGTCAATGACACTGTAGCTCACCACAAAAAAGGACACAAATGATTGAGTGAGAAGAAGTCAGTTTTAATTGAGCAACCATTGACGTACATTATAGAAACGAAGAGTATATATATGGGAGAACTCCCATTATATCTATACTATTAAAGTAAGACATTTCAGCTAAAAACTCCGGAGGGGGTGAATGGCTGGGCATGAAACGTACACCACGTGTCGATAATGATTCCGTATCCTGCCTCTCAACTTTGGAAGAAAATGTAACCTCCAAAAATGTGATTTTGCGAGGGAAATCTTGAAAATCTGTACACAATCTATAAATAGAACGAGGGATATATGTTGTCTATCTCCAACGTGTTAATTATGTTCTGTAACCATACCGCCCCAGTGGCCGAATGCATAAAGCACCGTACTCCAAAACCATTGATTCTGGGTTCGAATCCCACCTCGGGAAATTCTGTTTCTTTACTTTTGGACTGTTTAGTATGTACTTCTGCCACTTCACTGTTAATTTCAAAATTTTTTTACTACATTTAAACGTTTAGTAAAAATCCAGAATAAACTATGGTACATGATAATAATAGCGCAAACCAACGGGAACACTTCAGGGAAGCTTATGTAGCAGGGAAAAAAATACACGGGGGCGGCGGGCGATTTCGCCCCCGAAATGCCAAAAAGAGCCCCCGAAAACATGATATCGGGGGCGACCCCAAAAGAAAAAGTCGTCCTGGAAATCGATTGTCCAGGTCGGTCCCGCCCCTTGCCGCTCTCGCTCGGCGTTGCTGCGCTGCGATGCCTAGGCCTATGCCACTAGCGGCAGCCGGTTCCACGGCGCGGTAGAATTCATGGTACGGTGTGACTGTCAAGTGTTTACCATTTAAGCATGCATGTGTGTACTGTACTGTATTGCATTCAATCAAGCGCGGGCCGCCGCCCGCGGGTATATACGTGTGTGGCTGTGTGCCTGTGCGTGTGCTTGCGTGTGTGCCTGCGCGCGTGCGTGCGTGCATGCCGGTGTGCCTGCACGCGTGCGTGCGTGCCTGTGTGTGCTGGCGTGCATGTGTGCGCGTGCGTGCGTGCCTGCATGCGTGCATGCGTATGTGCTTGCAGGCGTGCCTACGTAGACCCGTAGGACCAACGACCCGTAGGATTATAGAATGGTAATCCATGGAAAATCCTAATGAAATTCACACGTATATTTTTCCCTGCCGGCACACTCGAGTGTCATTCCCGATTGTAGCTTTTTCGTCAATTCCCCAAAAGAGTTTTGCTGTCGCTCTCTCATAGTCCAGCAATGCCAACCCTCTACATTTTAGTAGTGATTAGTACCACGCTGAAACAATCGTGCCCCCCCCCCGTACTTCAATCAATGCCGCCCCTGCCAGCAGGCACGTATGCAGCGTCGATGTGCACAGCCATACACACGTGCCTCGCGGGCCGCTTTCTCAAAACTTCTCATTTGACAATATCTTTAATGCAAAATTGGTATTTCCTCTCCACCCTGCCCGATAAAACGTCTATATTAGAGTAAAAATTTATAAAACATGTCGGAACGCAGCATAACCTATTTATTCAAATGCCATCGCTACAAAGCGGGTTATAGCGCCATCTACGTCACAAATTGTGATTCATTTTGGTTTATAAATTATTATTGCGGATATACAGATGGCAATCGTTTCTATAATGTATGTATGTCGATGGTCTGCTCAATGAAAACTGACTTCTTCTTACTCACTCATTTGTGTCCTTTTTTGGGGTGAGCTACAGTGTCGTTGACACTTTCATTTTTTCCCGGGGCTCTTTTTGCAAACCCCCCCCCCCCAAATTTCGGGGGCTACTTTTTCATTTTCCAAGGGCCTTTTTCCACTTTCCAAGTGGTAAGGCGGACATTTTTTTCCAGAAGCCCATCAGGCCGAGTTCTGAGGCNGAGGAAACAGCCCTGGAAAAAAGTCGCCCTGGAAAGTGGAAAAAGAGCCCTGGAAAATGAAAAAGTAGCCCCCGAAATTTTGGGGGGTTTGCAAAAAGAGCCCCGGAAAGAAAAAAATTAATTTTTTCACTGTGTGTGATGAAACATTTTCGGTATGTATCATTTCTTGTACCAGGCGTTGGTAACGTTAAAGGGGTGGCTGCAGAATTCAACTTCTCTGTGGATCCTGAGGCAGCCTTCGTCGTGCTGAGTGGATTCCAGTGTCGCATCAAGCAAATCGGCTGGGAGGTCTGCCAGAACAGTTGGTTGCCATGGGTGTGTATCACCAATCTATATTTCTATAGTATGGTGGACTTCCGTAGTGTCACCATATCGTGTATGAATAGGTAATTGTTCGTTTCATTCTGCTGCAATTTTCTAATAATGATTACCGCAAGAGTTTGTTGTGTAAATGTGTTGCCATGCACTGCGCTAAAGCGCAGCTCTGATGACAAATGAAAAGGAAAGAAACTGCCAGATGTTATGCATGCAGTTATTTTTGCATTCCTTGCCTGAACATATGGATTGATACTTGTGTAATGGATGAAGTCGTATTGTTTACGTTTCAAATGCAAGCCCAACAAAACATGTCAGTTAGGCAGTTATTATTATTAACCCCTGATACAATGTCGATGCGTTACGGATAGCACTGTAGCTGGTTGCAGCATGTAGCGTCGCGTGTGCTTGCAGGACTGGTATGAAGACTGGGTGAGCACGCCCGGCAAGAGAGGCCGCCTCGTGAAAGCCGTCACGGTCGGTTACGTGGGACGCTTGAAGAACGCGGCGCACCCGGGATTCCGCGCGTGCGACCTGCTCGTTATGGCGGCCCCCCCTAATGAGGTGTGACGCTACTCCTCACGCTCCATCTCTCTCACTCTCTCTGCATATTTGTAGGACGTCTATCATCGGTGCGTAGATGCTGACACGCCGAAGGCCCACTTCCTCCGATCCATCTCGCGGGATCACCTGCGATGGCACTTGAATCAGCCTGGATACGTCGCATGTGACTGGCTCGCGATGACACTAGCTGTTGATGGGGTGACATAGCCACCGTGTTCCCTACCCCTACTTCCTTACCCTTACCTCTACCCCTACTTCCTTACCCCGCGTTCCTTACCCCTACTTCGCAGGGCGCGAGTTTCTAAGCGCGCGCTGCCTGCAAGGTTTCCCCCCGAAGTCGCATGAGAATGTGGAAATTTCACAATTTGTTTAAACTTGGATCGATTTTTTGGCGCGTTTTACTTTTCCTATTCGCTCGGTGTTCGTCTGCTAGTGCGCTAAACGCGGTTGCGACAGATGCATTCTAAAAACGCTACTTAGTAACGAAATGCTGCCAGCATTTGCAGGCAATGCATGCACAAATTTCCGTGCACGCATGAAAAATACTTACAAACTAGTCTAGCATAATCAACAATAGCATAACAATATCCAAGGCGGAGGATATTAGTGGGAATAACAAGGTTGTGATTTTTCTCAGATGACCAGCTTTATCGAATCAACACCTTTCCCTTTCAGGACGTCGTCGCCAAGTCTGAGGGCGTCTACGCGTGCGTTGAGCTGCGTGGAGAGGTCACCCGAGGTCAGATGGTGTGCGATTGGAGGCACAAGTATGTATCGATGGCGTCTGTGAGTGTAGGAAGCGAGCGCGTAAGGAGACGGGCATTGACTCCTGTATCCGATCCCCTACTCCGATTTTGCATGGCTCCCGATCCCCCTCGGCTGTAGCGCGCTTGCACAGTAACAACATGGCCTTTAGCTACAGCGATACTGTTTGCATTTCTTGGCCCTTATATTTTACTCGCGAGCGTGGAGGCTCGATGAATAATACCCAAGGGTGCATTCCCATCAATAGGTGATGGCCCGTGGTTAACTATGCTTCTATTAGCCGTCGGCAGTTTTGAAATTGTGCGTAGCAAGGTCACGGAGTACATCTATATATTCTCTATCGGCAGGCTGCAGAAGAAACCAAACGTGGATGTCGTTCTCGAACTGAACATGGACAGAGCGCGGTTAATGTTTGAGCAGATGCTGCTGTAGCTGTCGCGCGTGGCGCCACCTGGCAGACAGAATATTTTTCAGGAAAAGATTTTTTTCAAGTACTGTTAGAAAAGGTCCTATTTTTGCTATTAATTTTCAGTTAATGTATTTTGTGATCGTAATGAAACTATTTGATTATGCAACGACGTTGGCAGGAATCAAAAGAATGATAACAAACTGGTCGATTGTCTGGTGGTCCTTGTTATTTTATTGGACCTCGGTCGACAGATCATGTCAGTTATTTTAGGCGTGAACAATTGCCTTTGATCCCCAATATTATAAACACTATGCATGATATCAGGAGTGGATAATAGAGATATTCCAAAATCCCCTTTCCAAAATGGTAGTTTTGATGCTATCGGAAGAGATCTGCATTATTTACAAGTCACGTAGGATTTCCTGGTTGTTGATCCATTTTGTAATGTATGTTCATGATGTAACAAAATTGCTGAAGACTAAATAACAAAAGACTCTGTATTTTTTTTTGCCAAACATCACTTTATTCGTATATATAGTCTGGACATATCAACAAAAGAACAGTTCTTAACAGTGTGAATCAATTTCATCATCATCGTCATTGTCATCATCAAAGTTCACATATGATAAAAATATTCAGAATAGTCACATGAAACTCGCTGCACGTATCAACATAGAACTTCCACGCTTATTCCCACGCACCTCTCGACCAACCAGAAATGCACCACACACCAAGGAGAAATAACCATTATTGCTCTGAAACGTGGCTGTATTAAAGCCAACTCTAAAGCTGCTCACTTGTCACAGTCAAGTTCTCGACAGACGACACCAACGGGTACCTTCGGCCTAGACTGATGCAAGCGGTCTGACCTCACACTAGAGCCTACTGAGCCAGAACACATATGTACAGGGTGGGCCTCGTTGTTTCGCGGCCCGCCTTTACATGACCAAAATATCCGCCACTGCTTTATTGACACTCGACCAAACGGCAACAAAGAGGCACGCGTACACAACTCGCCTGCCAACACCCGCGGGGGGGCGCCACGTGTGGGCGCTGAAACCGCTACCGCAAACATCACTGACACAACCAGAGACAATAAAATTACTGTTCTATTGTCTCTGACACAACTAATAAGACAGTGACGAGTGCGCATGCTCCGTGGAAAACGACTGCGGATGTTGGCACGCAAACTGTACACTGAACGCAAAACCTTTGCTTTCTTAACACCTACCCGATTCTGACCCAATCGTTTTTTCTTTCAATAGAGGCCATTTTTAATGTCTGCTGAATAGAATAAATTGTACACACTTTTGGCACGTGACAAAAGACAAGACTACGGCAAGTCATTATTTATTACTCGCCTGAAATAGGTAAAGACAGTTGTACTCAGAAGACGACTATACGTGTGACCTATAGAGATTGTTAACTGGATAATTTGATCCTGATAGTTTATCACGCTGGGCAGTAGAGCTCCCGGGGGATTTCACGGCGCGGCCGCGAGCCGAACACGATTCTATGATTCGCCGAGGAGCCTTGTAGAACAAAAGGTGGTAGGACTAGGCCCCATAGCTAACTCTATGTCTAAACCTAGAGCCGCGGCCGCGCCACGACACCCGCCAGGGCCCTCGCCAAATAACTCACAACTGAAGTTGACACATTAAAATTCTAGATTTTTCAAACTTTGTACATCAGTGGTTTTTTTACAAAACAAAAACATAGAAACCCTGTAATGTAACACGCGGCGGGGGCACTCAGCACCTAGCGGACGTTCAATCTACGCAAGCAAGCGCGCCCCAACATCTTTTTTCGCAATGTTCCCGTAGTCCCCGGACGGAGAACGGCCCCGTGTTACGTACACAGAGTCGCCTCAGAGAACTCGATACAAAACGCCAATTTGGTCCCACCACTGAAAGACACGGGGAGGTATATATTATATACTTACTGCCACACGGCGCTCGCGTTTCTAATCGGGTGCGATCGAAAAAAGCTATCTAGAGCGAGCGCACCCCATTAAGAAACGCAGCGCCGTGGGGGGCAGAGTGCGTCGTCACCCGTTCTGTCTTCTTCAGCCAGCCACCCCGCCTGCGCATGCGCGACCACCCGCGCAGAGAGAACGCCGCCGGGAAGGGTACTGAGCGCCACCTGGTGTCAAATGAGAGCTGAGGTGCTGATGCATCCTAAACCTACTCTACGAAATGCAGCAAACGACTTCTGTTCCTGCGACTACGTCCAACTACTCAACAAACCCGCGCCCCCGGTGCAGAATTCGAGCGCACGACCGAGCGCGCGCGTAAAAATAAAAACCCTCTTAAACACTCGCAGACGTATTAAAAATCGACCGTCGATAACGTCTTAAATAGCCCTGATTGCCCGTGTGCTTGTAATTACCACCAAAGTACACGCAAATCGCTTGCCTCGATAATGGAGCGCAGGCTACTCCAGGCCTGCCGGTAATAAATAGAACTCTAGAATAACGGTAAATCTTGCATACAAAGCTATGCGGGTTAAAATCCATCGTAGTCTGACATTATGTCAGGGGGTGAGGGTGGGGGGGAATCGGAGGGGGGCCGAATTCTGCACAAGGGGCTAGCATTCAATAAGTTAACATATTTCACATGACTTGAGATAAAATCGCGACGGAGCAGTGAGAGGTTCCGATTGGTTGCGCGGCCGACCATTCGCGGCGCGACGCCCCGGTCGGTGGGCGTCGTCCGGAGACGGGTCACACAACAACAACAACAGTGCGAGGTAGGTTGTCCGCCGACCGCGTAGGTGGCGCCACGCACGCGCCAGACCGCGTCTGCCGGCCAGCAGACGGAGCCACTCGCGCCCCGCGTCTCGCTCGTAAAAAGGAACGCGTTTTTTCGTGTCGCCGCGCGCCCGCGGGATCCGTCGCCCCGCTAACATGATAAAACCATCTGTCGCCGCGTAACGCCGCGTAACGCCGTCGTCGTCAGCCGACGGGACGTCGCGGTGCGCGCCGACTCAAACTGTAGGTGGCGCCACGCGCGTCCTTCGCCTTCAAAGCCCCCGATGTCCCTCCACAGACGCGAGCACAAACATCCCCGAAAAACCTCCTCTCTCCGTCTCTCTTGCACTCTCTCTCTTCCGGCACCCCTCGCTAATGTTCAATATGTATAGATACTGATATGGAGCACACTAACATGACATCTGGCTATTTTTCACGTTTTTACAGCGGCATTTATAAAGGCAACTACAACACAACATCGACTACATGTTGGGTACTGTATCGTATCAGTTCACATATTATATATATACCAAACACATCCAGTTAACTGCATGTGTGCAAACATTAAGTATACATCAATATGATTATACACAGGGTTTTTTTTTCGCGAGATAGGTGACAGCCGCTAGTGGGGTCGTCTGCTGCGTCGCTCTGTCGTTCCCAGCGATCTATCACTCGCATGCAAAGCATGACCGCGGCCAGCAGCAGCAGCAGCAGCAGCAGCAGCAGCCGCAGCCACAGTAGCAGCAGCAGCAGCAGCAGCCGCAGTAGCAGCAGCAGCCGCAGCCGCAGTAGCAGCAGCAGCAGCAGCGGAATCCCACAGCAGCCACCGTTCATATCTCCACGTGACAACGTTTCATACCCCTCCAAAATCTGGTGGTTTGTTTTTAGCTTCTACTGTACATACGCAGAATGCCAGATTGTATATTCTGCCTAAAGGCAAGTAGAAAATGATAGGTATTCTGTGTAAAGTTCATATTGCCATTGTGTCGGTACAAAAGTTGCATATTTTTCACCTCCAACCTCTTAACGTTTTACTCCCTAAGCCCCTATAGGTGGCGCTGACGAGAGGGTAGCTCTCCACGAGGGTGTACGCAGCACGTGTACTCCAGTTACGGTGATGTATGTCCCCGGGGAGCACAGTCCCGCTGCTCCCGTCCGTCCGTCCGCACAGCAGTGTACGCACGCGCGCACGCACGCGCGCGCACACACACACACAGATACACACACAGCTACACAAAATTCTACCAACGCAATGATCTACGCTACTATCACCTGGTGGCGATTCGCCGAAACTGTGTGGCTCGCGTTTGCTGTGGCATTCTTGGCCGCCTGTGCCAAAAGTGCTCTCTCTCTCTCTCTCTCGATTCACTGGGTCGGGGTTGGACTAGCCGTGATCACGCGCGCTCTATGCTACCGACCGACAGCGCCCCCTATCTAACTGTAGCACACTGCAGCTGTTGCGTTGCCGGGACGAGTGCAGCTGCTAACGTTACACACGCTTGTATAAAAAATCTGACCGTGGATATGCTAGTCAAGTCAGGTGGCGCTACATGCTACTGATCTGCTCACTTGTTATTTTCGACACTCTAACCGCTACAAGGGATGCTTGGGACATGAGCTACTCCTAGGGAAAAATTTTGTACAGTATTGTACAGTATATACAGTTCTGAGTAACGACCGCCCATCTAAAAACGGGCTGAAACTTGTAACAATCGTTGTTCTTGCAGTCAAATTTTTTTTTACAAAACAAAAGTCTCACTCAAAAGAATCGAGCCTCGATGCCGGAGCTCCAACCTGGCAAAACCCATGTAGCAGCTACACGACGGTGCAATCGCAATGCATAGACTCTTCATGATCATGGTAGGTGGCAACACCTCACACTGCCGACATGTTGCCCTCCCACGCAGTCACCCGCCGCAGACAACAGCTGGCCCTCGGCTACAGGGGGCAGCACGTGCGCTGGCGCCACGACCGCGCCAGCTCAGCGCCCCCTGGCGGCCGACGTCCGCGCCACCGGCCGCGGCTGGGCAAAACGCGCCGCGACTTGCCACATTTAAAACCACATTATTATTATAATTATAATTATTATTATCAATCATCATCATCATCATTATTAATACAGTAAAAATAAAAAGTCTGTTCCGTCTACAGATGAGCCCAGTTTTCACAACCGTCTTCGCGAATGGTCCGCCTCTCCGCCCCTGTACAGCGCCCCCTAGCGGCAGCGCCACGTGGAACCTCCTCACGGTGATAAATACTAGGTACACAATAAAACGACCCGACGTCATCATCGTAAAATAACCAGTGCGCTCGGTGCAATCAACAGTGGATAATAATAGAAGGTTACAATTCAAAATATCAAACAGTCCGTGTAACTCCCTGCACTACTAGATAAGATGGGACGCGGTGGTACATAGCGGTGCAGCCGTGCTACGTTTGCGGCAATATACAGCAAATAAGTTCATTAGTTCTAACATATATATATACAGATAACACCAGCAGGCGTGTTCGCCGAGTCGCACTCAGACAGAGACGTGAACCACCCCCCGCCGCCGCCTCCTACCCCCAGCCCTGCCCGTGCCACGCCCTCCAGCCGCACGGTCGCGTCGCCGACCGTCGCCCGCGGCAACCGCATCCCAATCGTTTCAGTCCCGACCGCCGTCGGTCGTCGCCGTCGCGTCACGATGCCGGCGCCACCTGGTTGACTTGAGATCAGTTAAACTAACACTACGTGGGCGGAGGAGGGACGCGCAGAGAGCCGGACTACGCTAGCGCCCCCTACGCGTCCCACTCGCGCCGACACCCGCGCCGCGGCGACGACCCACGACGCGTTGCCGTGGTTACCGATCGCCAAGACTCGGCATTCCGCGAGCGCGGCCGACTCCTACCGGATCAAACATGGCGGCGACGACAAGAGGGCATCCTCGAACACGACAGAGGGCGCTGGCGGGCGGCCACAGTGGGTGGGAAGAGGAGGGAGGCTGCAGCTGACCGCCGCCCGGCACAGACGCTAGTTGTCCTTGCCGGACACGCGGCAGCCACCCTGCCCACGCGCGCGCGAGTGAGTGACCACCCCGGGACAAACGCTCCTACAGGCACCGACATGACATGTGTATCGATCGGTTGACTGCCTTGCACGACGACACTCCCTCTCTTCCTCTCTCATCCTCTATCTCTTCCTTTCTCATCCTCTATCATTACCTCTATTCTTCCTCCAGTCCCTCTCTTCCTCCTCTCTCTCCACACTGTCTCCCTCACATCGTCTGCGCGCGCCAGTTGGCAGCGCCATTGGCGGGCCCGCGGAAAAACTCTTACTATTGCTTTCTGAAAGTACGAGGCCTCAAAATACGGCGCCCCTCGCTGGCCCCCCCCCCTGGCGGGCGAGAGACGCAAAACACGAGTCTTCTTCCATACAAAAATAAAAACTTCATATGGTGAACACGAGGTGATGAGGGCTGCGGAGTGGGCGGGGAGGCGGCGCGGGGAGGTGCGGGGTGTAAACGATGACCTAAAACTGGTGGTGATCATGATTTGAATAAACTGGTGGTGTTTATCATCGACATATTTTTTTTCCCGCTAATTATACGCTACTAGCTACATGGTTAATAGTCCACTACACAGCTACACGCTAAATATCATATTCATGCCACTATAACATACTTGTGTATACCCTTGAAATAAAATCGACAAAAAAAATCATTGTTCACGATGCTTTAAATTTTCCATCACGTTCTCAGTTAAAACCGGCGCGGCGGCGGCGGCAGCAGACGCCGCGACATGGCCGCAGCGTGTGCTGCCGCCTGGTGGCACCGCCGTGCGTTAATTATTCAACAACAACAACAACAAATAGGTTGTTCCACGATTCGCGCATTATGCAGAGTATAATTTCCCACGCACGCGCGCGCGCGCGGGGGAGTGCGTACGCTACCTATACTCGCCCCGCGACGAACGCACACACGCGGTCGCAACCTATCATGCGCGCGCGCGCCTCACCTTAACAAGTGGGATTACGAGCTATAATGCATTTTCCTCCCTCTGACGACACCCAATCACACAACAACTCACAAATTCATCTCTCGTGCTCGTCGCACCGACGCGTTAGTTCCCTCTCTCTCCAGCAGAGGGCGTAGTTATCCATAATATTTTTTTTGTTACCGTCACACACGCACAACACATATTAACGTCCGACCGACGACGCCGGCATCTCCCAAGACCAAAAAAGCAAAGTGTCGCCTCCGCCGCCGCAGCGAGTCGAGTCAATCCCAGAATGCGTGCCGGCGTACGTGTGGCGTGCGGCGGTCGACATCTCACGATCAGCATCTTCCGTCGTTGTTTCGCATTCACGTTTCTCTCCAAAATCGTATTGTTTCTCCGTTTAGTAAAGCCCTAATCCCTGATTTGAACCCTGCAATGAGACGCGAACGCGCTTGCTTGAGCATGAGAGGGATCTGTGGAGGGAAGGTGGACAGCTAGCGTAGGGGCGTGCGACGCACATGCACGTCGACCAAGCACCGAAAGCAAATCATATATAGACTGAGCCAGAGAGAGCCACAGCTATATATAGGTATAGGCACACACACGCACGCACGCACGCACGCACGCACGCACGCACGCACGCACGCACGCACGCACGCACACACGCACGCACGCACGCACGCACGCACACACACATATATGATATATATATATATATATATATATATATATATATATATATATATATATATATATAGGTATACACATACAGTAATTGGCTTGTCATGCTACCTCCCCATCCGCTGCTGCCAACTACGCTACATATCGTCCCGGCGGCCGCAGATGGCGCCACTGTTAACATTCAGGTACACCCCAGCAGCGCCGTCTGGTGCCAATAACAGATGGCGCCCCTCCATCACGTACGCCATGTCGATTGGCCAGTGGCGACATCTGTTGGCAGGAAACATCAAGAACCGAAAACAGAACGATGTGCGGAGGGGTGGCTCGCCTCTGCGGGAGTATAGGGGGCGCTCCAGCACCCACTGCGGCGCCCCCTAGCGGAGAGAGTAAGCGACAAATACCTGGCGTTGGGGCGATGTGGACGTGCCACGACGCACTCAGTGGCCATAGCCATTAGTGAAAGCAGCAGCAATCAGGGGTCCCTGCAGCAACAAACGACCACACACAATGATTAGACACGCCACTGCTGCCACCTGCAGGGGAAGACCACAAACAAACGACGAGCTAGCAAGCTAACATGCATGCACGCGCACGCACGCATGCACGCACGTGCATACATGCAAACACGTGGAGTATGTGCACGCATGCACGCACGCATGCACGCACGCACGTACAAACAGGTGCAGGGGCAGGGGGAAAAGGGTGGATTGAGATGCACATTACGAAGGTAGGACTGGTTAAATTCAAAGAAACGCACGCACGCACGCACGCACGCACGCACGCACGCACGCACGCACGCACGCACACAGTCAGCCGGAAGGGAAAGAGCACGCATACATGCATGCACGGGTATGCACACACGCACGCACACGCACGCACGCGCACGCACACGCACGCACACGCACGCACGCACAGTCAGCCGGTGGGAGGTGAAGGACACGCACGTCTAGCGCCACCTACCGACACCACCACACGCTAGTCTACATCAAGGAGCTAAATATAACACGGAGATGAAGCGCCGCCATATCTGGCCCAAATTTGGGTTCGGCAGAGACCCTAGAACAGATTAGTGTCCTATTGTCTCTGGGTTCGGTCTGCACAGCCGTTTCAGCTGATTATGGTCCATAGATGGCGTCCTTGAGGCGAAAAGCACACAGCCAATCTGCTTCCTCTCCTTGTTATATTTAGCTCCTTGGTCTACATTACTACACAGACACACTCAACACATACGCTGCCCACTGCTGAAGCGCGCACACACCTACACACAGCCACCACAGCAAGCAAACGTGCGTAACAAGAACGTATGAACAACGGGTGTGTTCGCTGTTGTTCCCATGGAACGTGCCCGCGTACCTTCGGTGTGGTTCACCGTTAACACTACTAATGCAGGGCGGACATTGCCTAGAATTTACACGCAGCTAGAAAGGAGTGGAGTAATGCACGTTTCGTCGCTGACGCAAACATATATGAGAACCTGTGGCTGGAATCGTTGCCTTATCAGCCACCACGTCGTGCCAGAATATATTAGCATAAAAGGTCCCAATGCGATTAATACGAAATGTCCACTCCGCTAGCTCTTTCTAGAGGATTCTTGTCACAAAGTTTTTTTGTGAAAGTCGTGGCATACACGATGAACAATCGGGGAAGGGGCAGGACTGAACGAATGTCAGTACGAAATGATGGAATGGCCCTAACAACAGCTACTACGCTACGCATAACACACGCGCGCACAACCGCACGTACGCACGCACACAGCAGCACGTACGCACGCACACAGCCGCACGTACGCACGCGCATAACCGCACACACGCACGTACGCATGCGTACACACGCACGCACACACACACGTACGCATGCGCACGAACGCACGCACGCACGTGCACACACTCGCACGTACGCGCACCCGCACACCGACACGTACGCAACATGCACCCCTGAACGGACGCGTGTGCTAGGCGGCAAGCACCTGAAATGGATGCAGCAAGCCTAACGAATCTCGCGAAATCTCGCGAGACTAATGACGCAGCGTTCAGAGGTGCGAACACAATACTGACGAGTAGGTGCGACTGAACGACATTACAAGTGCTGCACAACCCCATTCTGCATGCATCAACCCCCCACACCACCCTCCCCCAGTGTACCCCGATGATGGTTAGGAAGGGAGATGACCTCCCCTCTAAACAACCCTCCACTGCCTCCTCCTCCTACAACCCTCGTTTCTACCTCCATTCATCTACAGTTGAATCACGTTTCTCAGGGGTGTCGTGACCAACGGAGGTTACGCGGTGGTGGTGGTGGTGGGGGCGGCGGCTGCGAGGGCGGTTAGTTCACGTACCTGACCCCAGGAGGCGCCACCGACCCTGCTGACAGCGATCGGGAACGACGGCTGAGGGCTGGCGGCCTGCACGTAGCCAACGCTGTCCTGACTGGAGCTGTAGATGTCCAGAGGACCTGCAAAAACAAACACACGCGCACGTCACGCATTTATACAATCATCGGCATCCGCGGAATAGAGAAGTCTGACAAATCCACCGTCAGGCGGCGCCACCTGTGCCATAGAGGGCGCTGGCATGCTCGCTCGATGCAGGTGTTCCGTTGCGCACCGCAGTGATGTTCCGTTGTTTGGGCGGCAACCGGTGCACGATGGGTTGGCACGATCGTGAGAAAAATATCGGATTTTATATTTCGGGCTTTTTCCGTCGCACGCGCAGTATATCAAAGGCTGGCGTACGCGCACACACACACTTATATGCACGCACGCACGCACGCACGCATCACGTACTGACATACGTGCACACATGCACGCAAGCACACACACACTCACGCAGGCGCACGCACCAGCCTAAACGCACGTACACGCACGTACACCCACAATCACTCACGCAGGTTCACGCACCAGCCTACACTCACGCACTAGCCTACACTCACGCACTAGCCTACACTCACGCACTAGCCTACACTCACGCACTAGCCTACACGCACGCACTAGCCTACACGCACGCACTAGCCTACACTCACGCAATAGAGCGGGGGTGACGTTTGTAGGAGGAGCTGTGGGGAGGCGAGTGGAGTACTCACAGGATGCACTCTCAGGCAAGGTTACGAGAAGGAGCGATGAGGCGGTCAAGGGAGAGATGATAGGTGTTGCCAGTTAGCGATTAAGCAAAGCAGTGTTGGTAAAAGAAGAAGGTCAGCTACCCCGGAATCTTTCTCCAGTTTGGAACCAATTTCGGAGCCTCACTCCCAATCCATTCGGTTTCTGGCGGTAGATAGCGCAACATTCCCAAAGAAATGATGGATAGAGGGACGAGGCGCCGCGGGAGGCGAGGGGAGGGGGCGAGTCCAGAGATCATCGAGTCATTTCACATTCGTTCACTAACTAAACCACGTTGTTTCTATATGTTCGAGTCGTCTTACATGTAGTGTACTGTAGCCGTGGGGTGGGGCAGGGAGGAGGGTGGAACGGGAGGGCGAGGGGGCGGGGCGGGTCGGCTCTCTCTCGTGTGTCCTGCAAGTATAATCCTAACAAAACGCATGGATCAGGCTGTACAGTTTGCTAATAATATCCGCCATCTGCTAGTACTACTACTACTACTACTACCACCACCACTATTCCCATCCTACTACTACTATGACTACTATAATTACTACTACTTGCTTATTACTACTACCATTACTACCACACAGTAACCGTTGTTAATGATTCAGTAGTTGCATATGCCTCGCATCGTTCTTTCTAGTAGTAGTAGCTGAGTCATCGTGTGTGGAGTGTGAAGCCAGCCAGCCAGCTTCCCTCTCGCTCTCTGTCAGTATGTAGCAGCACAGTTACTGTATCAGTAGACCTTTCTGTTCGTTAATGTGCCTGACTATGAATATGTATGAAAAAAAAAAAATATATATATATATATACATGTATGATAATATATTATATGCTATATATACTATATATATAGACTTATTTCCTATTCCCCAGCCCGTCTAATGATGCGATTGGCCTCCTGGCGATTCGTGGGTGAGTCTGTGCGCGAGGTTTACGGTGCAACGTGTCTAATCAAAATTCACTTCGACCGATAGCACTGCCTACAAAGAGCCACTCCTTCTTCTTCACGCGCCTCAGTAACAGGCAGCGTCGCTTGGCGTTCGCTTGTTTTCCGCGCGCGAGCGGTGCGCCGCGCCTCCTAGCGTCGTCGACTCCACGCGCGTGCTCATGCTTGCAATCGCCTCTTGTTTTGCCTGCAGTGATGAACAGCTATGGACACCAGGGATTCGGCACTCCGACGCTAACTCCCGCGGCTTTCCCGCCCGCCAACAGCCCAAGTAAGTACGGTGCGCCACGCCGCGTGCGTGCGTGTGCGGCTGGTGCGTTGCGCCTCTCCGCCCGCTGTTGGCCTTGTGTGCGTCGCGTGTGCTGTTGCCGTGCGTGTAGGCTAGTGCGTGAGTGCTAGTAGTTTAGTGCGTGCGTGTAGGCTAGCTGCGTGAGATGTAGGCTTGTGCAGTGAACCTGCGTGAGTGCATGTGGGTGTTACGTGCGGCCACTGACTACAGAGTTACCAGTAAATTTTTTAGTATCTGTGTGTGCGTTAGGCTGTGTGCGGGGCTTGCGTGAGTGTTG